CAAACTTCCCAAAAGAACCACCTCACGAGGGGCTCACCTACTGTCTCCCACCTACATCATTTGAAGTCTGCTCCACTAGGGCAGCAGCTCTCCTTGCCTCACCCACCCCTCCTGGTCCAAAATCCCACAGCCACTCTCCCCAGGCTGCTCTGCAGCACTTGGCAGATGGGCTGCTTCCCCTCCTGGAGTGCCCTCCACGCCCCCTGCATTAAGGGATGCCACCTTCTTCCGTCACTCCCCTGCCTTTCTGCTCGCCCTTCTTCACCTCCTTTAAGGGCTCCTCCCTTCCTCTCTATGCTCTGTAGGTGTTGGGGTTCTGGGTGCTCTGCTGCAGGCCTGCTCCCTCCCTTTCTGCAGCTCTCCCCAGGCAGCCACATGTTCTCTCAGGGCATCCTGATGGCCAGGGGCTCAAGTCTGAATCTCCACCCTGCATCTCTTTTTGGAGCTTTGCATCCAGAGACACAGTTGCCTTGAGGGGCATTGCAGCTATCTGGGTGTCCCACAAGCACCCCAAAATCATCTTGTCTAAAAGATTGGTTATTCACTTCCTCCTCTAACTCACTGAACAGTTCACTCCTTCTCAGCTGTGGACCTGCCATCCATCCAGGTACTAACCTGGGTGTCAGCCTAGACCTCCCTCTTCCCATTACCTGCCACCCCTAGGCGGCCAGCTTATGCCTCTGCCGCTCCCAACCACCACCCCCACCAGCCAGGGCCATTCCCCTACCTGAGTCCAAACCACCCCCATTTGTTGTCCAATTTAAGACAGTTCTCTTCACTGGGCACCCTATTCCATTCCACACTTACCGTCTGTTCTTCCTACTGCAGTCAGATTGTTTTCTAAAGCATGCATCTGATGGGGTGTTGCACTTGTTCAAGGTTCTTGTAGGCTTTCATCACCCTCAGGTTGAAGCCTCAGCTCCTCAGCAAGGTTCACAGTCGGGTCCTTGCTTTCTACTCCAGCTGTGTCCTCAACCCCACCTCTCACCCTGGTTTCTGCTGCACTGACCTGACATGCTGTGCCCTGCCCTCTCCTCATTGAGCCTTCATTCCAGCCCCTGCCCTCGGTGGCCTTCTGCCCCCCAATTCTCCCTGTCTTCTTTGCTAACTCCTCCTACCCTTCAGGACCCACCTCCACTGCTACATCCTGATATTAACCAGATCCCCAGTGAGGGTCCACTGCTTTTCTCTGTTATGACCTCCATACCTTTCTCTTTTTACTCATTTGCCTTGCTCATTAGACCACGAGCTCTTTAGGGACTCCCAGGTGTAACACATTACCTGGCACACTGAAGATACTTTTATAAGTATTACTTGTATAAATGGATAAATGCACAAAGAACACATACTGTACACTACTTTTATTTACCACACAAAGACATGTAAGGTAGCTTCAAAGTGTGCACGTACCACATCTCTAGTTTATGAGGAAGAGAGGAAGGCAGTGATTTTAGTGTTATGGGGGAATCTAGGAGCTAGCTTTGCTGTTGAAAGTGTGGACTCTGGAACCAGGATCCCTGGGCTCAGTTCCCAGCTCTGTCATTTTCTTGTGGTCTGATTTTGGGCAAGTTATTAAACTTTCTGCACCTCGGGTATTCCATCCTTAAAATGAGGATGATAATTGTGCCTACCTCAAGGATTGTCGAGAGGGTTAGATGAGTTCATTATCGAAAACCTCTAGAAGAAGTGTATCATCACTCCCATTTTACAAATGAGGAAGCTGAGACTCAGAGAGGTGATGTTCCCTACCCAAGGTCACATAGCTGGGAAGGAGCAGAGCTGGAATTTGAGCCCATCCTATCTCTGTATGTGCCAAGGGCTGGAGAAGCACAGGAATTATACCTTCAAGCTCTGAAATATCAGCCTCTGAGTGGAACTCTCCAGATATATTCTACTCTTATGGCCCGAAAAAGATGCTTCTTGAAGAATCTGCTTTTGTGCCTGGCTCACAGTAGGTGCATAATATTACCGAAGTAAATGAATGCCTCCAAAGGGCCCCATCTGGTCTTCAACATTTCCCGCTCCTGAACGGTGTTGGGAGGTCTGGTCCTGGGTCCTATTTTTGCCAGGGTGTTGGCAGCAAACTCTTCCTTATTCAGACCTTTCCTCTGTCCCAGCGCTTTATGGGGGCGGGTCATTAAGAAAGCTCTTTCCCAGGAAGAGCTGTGCCTTCTCCAAGTCCAAGCTGAGTGCCCAGCCCCCATGCTCTCAAAGGCTGCCCTTGTGGATTTCAAAACAACCCCACAGCCCTGTAGGCGAGAACCTGGCCCTTGAGCCCCCTTTCTTTAGAAACCCAAGGTCCATGGCTAGTTAGAGTCAGCACTAGCAAAACCTAAAGAAAATAGTTTGAAGATGTTTTCAAATAGTGTCTGGTAGAACAAAAGAGCAATTCATCCTGCTGTAGCTTTTAGTAATCTGCTTCCCATTCTGGTTATTAGATTGTTCAATTAAGCGAGAGGGCGCTGAGGCAGGCTGCATGACTCGAAAGTTTGCGGCATCCAAAATATGGAAGAGAGGGAACCTGAGCCAACTCACTCCTGGCTGGTCTGTCCCCTTCTTTCTCTCTCTGCCTGTGTCATTTCCAGCTTTCAGATTCCCAGTTCAGAAAACAACTACATCAGCAAGAAGGCATGTGTGTGTGTGCACCCCTCCTAGCTGGGGGCCTTGTGTAAGTGTTTCTTTAATGAAAAATTCAGAGGCTGGAATGGACTGGGACACAGCACACCCAGGTCATTTCCACCTGCAGTGGCCCACTTTCTTTTCTGCTCTGGGTTGTCCCTTCTCATTCACCAGCTGATGGGCTTTCGGGGCTCTTTGGGGGCAGTTTGTAAGATGGTGGCTATGTGTCATCTTCAAGGCTCTTAATCTGGAGACGAGGAGGTCTAAAGTTCCTGCACAATGCTGTGAGTGAGTGAGCGCATCAGTGTGTTTGTTTCTCTGGGGAGAAAGTCCATCCCTTTGGTAGCTACTTAAAGGATCCCTGACCCCTTTCACAAGTCCTCTCCCCAACCCTCCAAAAAATGAAGGTTGAAAACTATTCAGGTGGACTTGATAGGTCATTCATTGCTGGGAAACTACTTCTGTGGTGCTCAACCCTTATCATGCTTGAGCAGTCCTTGGAGAAACTTGGCAGCATACGGCTTCCCAGGGGCCATTCTGCGAAGATTTGGACCTCAGTGGGTCTGGGATGGGGCGCAGAAATTTTTGTGTGGTTTTTTTTTTTTTTTTTTTTTTTGGCAAACCCCCCACAAGGACCGTGCTCTGTTATAATCATAGGTACTCTTTAGGGTTTCATTTAATAAGGCCTGTAGTTTTAAAACGAATTAAAGCCAGAGACTGTTAAGATATAAGAAGCAAAGTGATTATTATAACTATGCGACTGTCTCCATTCTTTCTCAAATAACTTGGACTTCTTTTTTTTGTCCAACTTATTTTAGTCATATACAAGAGCCATACCATGCATACCTTCTTATCCTAAGTATCTCAGTATTTTTAATACAGTGCCTGACCAAAGTAGATGCTCAATAAATGCATATTTAAGTGCATATTTCCCCTCTGATAGGTCAGAGAGCTGGTTTCCTTTTGAGTAAATCCGTGGCTGCACACAGGCTGATTTTGTTTGGGGGCCTCCCTGATTTCTCCTGTGGGACTTGGGGATGGAGGGAGCCTGCAGACCAGTGCTAATTGGTGTCATTGAGTAATTAATGCAGAATCAGGCCCCAAGCAGATTCCCAGGGAGACAGACACTGAGGGAGGCTTTCATGCTTGGTGGGATGGGAGCTGCTTTCTCAAAGGATGTTCCCAGAGTGCTGAGGAGACTGGCGTGGTCTGGTGGGGGTGGTTTGGCAGCATGGATGGGGTCTGTGGAGCAAGTTTGGAGAAGGTTTGTGTTGGTGCCATGGTTCTGCACAATATGGAGCGTGGCAAGTTTGACTTTAAAGAAACACAAACCCCAGGCATGGGCTCTGGGAGCCAGGCCTGTGTCAACTCTGAAGAATTAATGGGTTCTGAGGGAAGGCTGTGGCTGGAGGCATTGGCTCAGTGCACCCAGAGGTCCTCTCTTTCCTGTGGCCAGGGCCCTCTGTGACACCCCTACCCCTTAGCATGCTACTCTAGGCTCTCAATGATGTTTCTGTTTACCTTTCCCGCCTTTCCATTCTGATACCTGTGCTCCAGCTTTCCACAAGTATTTTGGCCTTTGCTCATGCTATTCCCTAGATCTTAAACAATCTTAATTCCTCCCTCTCCTGGCTCAATTCCATCATCTTTCACAGCTTGGCTTAAATATCACTTCTTTCAGGAAGCTTTTCATGGCCCGCTGTAGTAGTTAGGATAGGTTGGTTTGTGCTGCAGTAACAAACACCCACAAAGATCTCAGTAGCTTGAAGCAACAAAGTTTATTTCCTGCTCTCCATCTCTGACACAGGGTGGCAGGATGGCTTATGTAGTCACCCAGGATCTCAGAATTCTAGAGGTGCCATCTTGACACACGCCTCTGTACCAGCAGTGGTAGGGAATAGGGGACGAGGTGTACCACACCACCTGGCTCTGAAAGCTTCTGTCTGAAGTGACAAAGGTGCCACTGGCCAAAGTAAGTCCAGTGGCTACCCTTGAGTTCAGAGGTACCTGGAGTGTTTATGGACAATCTTTCAGTCTCCCAGGACCTCTCCCAAGGTTAGAGGCTTCTTGGTCTTCCCAAAGGCCTTGTGCTTCTTCTATCATAGCCCTTACCACACAACACCATAAACCATATGCTGACTAGGGCCCTATTTTTCCCCATGGAGTGACTCCATGAAGACGGGGGGCTGGTTCTTATTCCTTTCTGAGGCCCCTATGCCCAGCCCTGGGTTTGGCTCAGAGAAGATGCTGAATGGATGGGGGAAGGGTGGGTGAATGAGTGAGCGGGGGGTCCCCACTCCTCTGCAGCACTAACTTTGCTCAAGATTCGGTTGAGGTGGGCCATCTCCAGCCCCCGTGACTCTTGGCTCTCCCTTCTGTAGGCGCCGGGTCTTGGCCATCTCAGATGGGATTGAGCACATCGGGAACCTCCGCTGGGAGCTGGCTTTGTGTCTCCTGGCAGCCTGGACCATCTGCTACTTCTGTATCTGGAAGGGGACCAAGTCCACAGGAAAGGTAAGGGGAGCATCTTCAAGCAACCAGCCATGCACAGGGGAGAGCACAAGTTGTCCTTGGACAAGCTCACAGGTGACTCAGAGTGCCAGGGTGTTTATGTTACAAAGGCTAACTCTTAAGTTGAGAGTTAGGAGGAGCACTGGACAGGGAGTCCACTCAGGGGCCCAGAGCTAGAATTCCAGTCCACCACTTATTTGCTACACAGGTCAGGGTGACTTCCACCTTCTGAGCCTTAGTTTGCTCATCTGTGAAATAACAAAGTTTTATTTTGTCTTCTTACTGAGTTGAGAGTCACACAAAGAAAGGAGAAATAAAGTGCTTTAAAAACCAGGAAGTGTTAAACTACTACCATGCAGGTTTTATAATTTAGACATGCATTCTAGGTGAGTGCTAGTGCAGGTAACGCTGGCTGCCTCTACTGACAGACCTGAAGATTTCACTTGCCTGGAGTCTGTAGAGGGAAGGGACAACACTTCCATCTTGTTGCCTTGCTGTGCCATCTGCACTACATGACCTCCAGGGTTAGTGTCATGTCGGGGAAGAGAAATGGGAGTTACTGTGGCTCCTCCACTCATGGCTGCATGGCATGGCCTCGCCTAACTGCAAGGGAGGCTGGGAAATGTAGGTGAGCACAGCGACATCTGGTAGGCACAGCTATCTGTGCCACAGATTCAACAGAGATTATAAACGTGTAGCTCATGGCCACGTCCAACCCACTTGTGTGTTTTATTTTTAAAGAAAAGGGAAAGAATTAGTTGCCAACATTTAGAAATTAGGAAATTTCACATGGAAAGAAGAAACAGGATTCTGGCATCCTGTAGAAAGGTGAAAGAGTTGTCAACACTGGACTTGCATACCTACATGGCAGAATGTGGCCGAGCTCAGCAGCAGCCTCTCTTTTCTAAGGGTGCTTGGTTGATCACAGTCCCCACTATTCTCTGTGGTCCCTGATCCTGTGGCTGAGTGTCAATGCCGTTAGTTTTCTCATTTATGCCACTCAGTTTTTCTTGTGGAAAAGAGGAAAATGAAATTTTTCTCATATATGGGTCACCCTGACTATATCACTCCTTGCCCACCTGCTTCTGGTGGGCAGTTGCTCATAAACTTTCTTGTAAGCTACTATCTGGGGCAGGGGCTGGAAACAAAACCTTCAAGAAAACAGGAACTTAACAACTCTAGGCCCTTTTACAAAATACAGTCCCCTCAGCTCCCACAGTGGTAGGTGGGATCAAGAAGAAACTGCTAGAATGTTGAAGTAGGGGCGGGGGGTAGCTAAAGGAGGGAAGTTAGGAGAGCACAGAGGAGATATTAACAAGACGCATGCTGTGGGTTACAAGAAAGATGAGGATGTACTAGAAAGTGATCATAAACATCCCTGAGAGATCATAAATGTTTCTTCAGCCAAGATAATTATGCTGATCTTTGTTTTCTCTAGTTTGTATCATAAAGACAATAGGATTTTTCCGGTTTTCCAAATATAAAAATCATTTCATTCTTCATCTGCTTCTTCAGACTGCATACACATTGCTCCTGTCCCCCTCCTTGCTGCCTCTTCTGGCTAAAGAGGAAAATGACCGGAGAGGTTAAGGACTAGAGTCTGGAATCAAGATTCACATCTAAAGTCTGTTACTTACTAGCCGTGACCTTGGGCACATCACTTAACTTCTCTGAGCCTTATTTCCTCTACTGCAAAACAGGGATTGATCACTGAGCTTGCCTCATGGAATGGTGATGAGGAGGAAATGCAAGGACGCATGTTCAGTGCTTATCAGGATGTATAACTAGTAGTAGGTGCTGAATAATGGTGACTTTTGAAAATCTTGTTATAAAGATAAAATGTATTCATTTAAGAAATAGTTTCTGAATATCTACTCTGTATCTAGCATTATTCAGTGGGTATCTAAAGATGAATAAAATGCAACCTCTAGCTTGCCCAGCTAACAGTGAAAGTACACTATGAACCATAAAGAGAAGGGAAGAAGTGTCAAGGTTGATATTAATATAGATTCTTCGGTGATTACTGTATCCTTGGGAATTGCTGCGGAGGCCAATGGGGCTTGGCTGGGTGTTGGTGTGTGTGGCTGTAGGCAAGGCTGCTCGGTTGAGGTTTTGGTGCATGCATGTGTGTGGGTTGTCCATGTGCATTTGTGGACTTGAGCTCTCAGGCCCAAGACATGGGCCATGGTAAAATTTGGTTCCTCTCAACCCTCAAGAGAAAGCTCGGTCCCACATTGGGACCATTTGCCATTGGCTGGGCCACTGAACCTGTATGTTAGAGAATTTTTTTTTTTTTCAGAGAATTCTAATGCAGGAAAAGGGTTTCAAGGAAGAACCAGCAGGCTACATTCTTGGAGATTTCAGAAAAGGCATATGGGAAGGGAGGGACCATTCTTCCACAGCCTTCTGCTTTCTCCACACTCTGCCAGTGGCTTTTCATCTACATTAGCACATAGAATCTCACAAAATGGAGAGATATTGCTGCTTTTTCATAGGTGAAGACCCTGAGTAGCCTGGCCATAGTTACATGGTAACTTTGTATTTCAATACTGACTCACCTTGCCTGTCCGTGGACTTGATTAAAATTTAGAACATTATGGTGTTTTGAGTGATGTCCTTCCATGCACCCTCTCTGAGCCTACTTTTTCTCATCTCTAGTAGAAACGGTAATGATAGCAGTAGTAATAATACTTATAAGAAGTAATAGGTAATAGTGACTGAGTACTTCACATGCCCATTCTAGTCAGAACTTGAAACAGCCCCATGAGAGGGGGGCTAGCATTATCTACATTTAACAGATGAGAAATTGAGGCTTAGAGGGACCATGCAATTTGCACAAGGACCCACAGATAGGAAGTGGAGAGCCAGGATTAACCCCAGACCTTGGTGACCACATAGTCCATGCTCTGGTTGAGTATACTCTTGTGACTGACGTCTTTGACATGAAGACAATGGCAATTTTCTTATGGGCTGGTTCTGGAGAGGCAGTTAATGAGATAGCTTAGCATAGAGTAGGTACTCAATGGTTGTTGGTTGCAGCTGGATCTAAATGTGCTTTTAAGGGAAACACTGAAATCAGATGAGCCAATTCAACATTTTCCCAAAGGCTGGTTCAAGGGCTCTTTCCATGTTCCATGCCCAAAACCAGGGTTAGCATCCAGAGTGAGATGTGGTTTGCTGGCACTGAGAGATTCCATAGAGATCATCTGGACCACCCTCCACCCTTATGAATGAAGAAACAGGCTCAGAGAGGGGAAGGGACTTGTTTGAGGTTACAAAGGGAGTAAATGTCAAGTGTCAGGTCAGGAACTAGGGCCTGGTGGCCCAGTTCCATAGCTATTTATAACAGATGATGTTCTATTGGAAAAATCTGACAGTTTTAGGAGACCAGGGGTCCCAGGATTGGCATGTGGTCTCATCAGGAGAGGGTCTGATGCTTTTGTCACTGATTATTTCTCACCTCACCTTGGACATGGGCCCGGCATCCAAAGGGTTTTTGGGTTCTGTACAAAATCAGCTAAAGGTAAAGACGGGGTCATCTGAGTGTTCCCAAGTGGGCAGAGGTCGCCCTGGCTCTTGCCTGCTGGTCCCTGGCCAGAGCCACTTTCATGAAGCTATTCAAGGAAGGAGAACCCTATCTTCCCACTATTGTCCAGGTCATGACTGAGTTCCAACCCACTTCCCATACTCAGACCTCAGCAGAAATTTCTGAACTTTTATTAATTTGAGAAACAGTTCCCAACCCCCTCCTATCTTCAAGGTAAAAACTATAACCCCAACTTTAACCCAATTCAATGAGCATGTTCCCTGCTCCTGGGGAGAAAATATTTGCAAAAGACACATCTGATAATGGACTATTATCCAAAATACACAAAGAACTCTTAAAACTCAACAATAAAAAAATTAAACAATATGCCTACAAAATGTTTGATCCTTCACAGAAAAAGTTTGTGCATTTCTAGTTAAGTATATTAAACTAATTCATGTAGACTATTTGCCATTTAACAAGAAACTAACATATAAACTGCCGTCACCCAAAGCATGCACTATCTCAAACACTGAAAAGCTACAGTGATGGTTTGCAAGGGAGAGCTTTTCTGAAGGATTCTTAAAATCTCACCTAAGCCTTTTCAGCCCCCAAATGCTATTTCTTGTATCCAAAAGCTCACTTGCTATGGATGTTGCTCATTCACTCATTAATTCTTTCATTCATCCAGTGTTTATTGTGTACCTACTATGTGTCAGGCACCAGGCTGGGGGGCTCTTTTCAGTGATGAGTAAACTAGACCGTGGAGTTATGGCCTAGTGGGGAAGTAACAAGGCATAGAAATGCTGTGGATGGGAGAAGGAAGGCTTTGAGAAAGAAGAATGAGGGTAGGGGAATTCCTTAGAGGGGTCAGAGTAGGGTTTCCTGAGGCGCCTGGGTGAGCAGCACATATGAAATTCTCAAGTGGGAAGGACCTGGTGAATTTGAGAGGGAAAGCACATTGGGGCTCAGATGGACCTGATGGTGGCATGTGATTAGGCAGGAGAAATCAGCAGGGGTCAGACCATGCAGGCTACGGTGAAAGGTCAGGGACTTTATTCTAAATGCAGTGGAGAACCAGTGAAAAGCAGGAGTAGCACGATCTGATGTTCGTCCTTAAAAGTTGGCTCTGGTTGCTTGTTATGAATGGATGGGTTGGGGACAGGGAGGCTGTCGGATCTCTGTTAGTGGGTGAGCAGGGCAGAGGTGGAAGTGGAACAGAGAGAAGAAGTCAGATGAGAGATACCTTTTGGTGTGGCATCCTTGTTCTGCAGGACCTGCTGCTGCCCAAGAGGCCTCGCTGTCCTTTGACTTTTGAAGTGGGGTGGCTCTGTCAGCCTGTGGCCTGGGTACTCTGCCTTCTGCAGGCAGCCATCTCTGCCTATCAGATAGTCAAAGTGTCCCCTCACATTGCCCCCAGTCCCTCCCCAGCTGGCTCCTCTGCTTTGCTCTCTCCCTGCTTGGTTCCTTCTTCTGT